ATCACAATAAAGCACATACTTTTCTTGCTTCAAACCCAACACTTGCAAAAATTTCTTCAGCCATAACTCTTCTTTGCAAGCTTTTGTAATAGCAATAAATTCAGCTTCGGTAGTTGAGAGAGCAACACATTTTTGTAATTTAGATTGCCATGCCACAGCTCCCCCTACAAAAGTCATCAAATACCCCGAAGTAGATTTCCTAGAATGAATATCACCGGCCATGTCAGAATCCGTGAACCCATCAAGCATCGGCTTACCATCCCCAAAACACAAACACACCTTCGAAGTCCCTCGAAGATACCTTAGAATCCATTTTACCGCTGCCCAATGTTCTTTACCCGGATTAGAGAGAAACCGACTCACCACACCAACGGCGTGAGCAATATCCGGTCTTGTACAAACCATGGCGTACATCAAAGAACCAACTGCTGAAGCATAAGGAATTTTCAGCATCTCTTCCTTGTCTTTCTCACTTGTAGGACATTGATTCAAACTAAGCTTGAAGTGGCCCGCAAGTGGACAACCAACCGACTTTGCTTTATTCATATTGAATCTCTCAAGAACCTTCTCAATGTAGCTTTCTTGAGACAACCAAATCAGTCCCTCTTTGCGATCACGAACAATTTTCATACCAAGAATTTGCTTTGCCGGTCCCAAATCTTTCATAGCAAAAGACTTGCTCAACTCCAATTTCAACCTGTTTATCATAGTAGAATCTTGACCCACAATTAACATGTCATCAACATAAAGTAAAAGAATAATAAATTTACCATCCGAAAATTTTTTCACAAACACACTATGGTCCGAAATGATTTTAGAAAAACCATTATTCATCATGAAAGAGTCAAATTTTTTGTACCATTGCCGCGGGGCTTGCTTGAGACCATACAAACTTTTCTTCAATTTGCAAACAAATTTCTTTGCAAACAAATTTCTCTTTTCCTTTCTCCACAAAACCCTCCAGTTGCTCCATGTAAATTTCTTCTTCAAGGTCACCATGAAGAAATGCGGTCTTCACATCAAGTTGCTCAACTTCAAGGTTCATACTTGCAGCTATACTAAGTACAACCCAAATAGAAGACATCTTTACAACCGGCAAGAAAATCTCGTCAAAGTCAATACCTTTCTTTTGCCCAAAGCCTTTCACAACAAGACGTGCCTTGCACCTCAGATTCTTGCCATCATTCTTCAATTTGAAGACCCACTTATTTTTCAAAATTTTCCTCCCCTTAGGCAACTTCACTAAATCATAAGTCTAATTTTCAAGCAAGGAATTCATCTCCTCGTCCATAGCCTTTTTCCAATCACTTTTCTTTGCATGCTCAATTGCTTCTTGGTAGCTCTCAGGCTCCCCTTGATCAGAAATCAACACAAATTCATTGGGAGGATACTTTCTTGAAGGTTGCCGGTCCCTTGTAGATTTCCTCAACTCAAGTTGTGGTGGCGGTTCTTGAGTTGGATGCTCTTCCTCAATTTTCTGGCGTCAACTCATTAGGATTAGCATCATCCTCCATTTCTTCAATAGGTGGCTGCACATCTCCCCCATTTTCATCATCAACTGAAGATGAAGGAGATGGATCCATGTCAATGAGATCACTAGTTTTTAGCTCCGGTTGATCACCTTTGCCAAAGTCTTCAATTGTTTGGTCTTCAAGAAACACAACATCACGGCTTCAAATGACTTTCTTGTCGACCGGATCCCACAATCTAACCCAAATTCATCACGCCCATAGCCAAGAAAAATACATTGTCTTGACTTGCTATCAGCTTGGACCTCTCATCTTTTGGAATGTGAACAAAAGCTCGGCAACCAAACACTCTCAAGTGCTCATAAGACACGTCTTACTGGTTCCAAACTCTTTCTGGAGCATCACCATTCAAAGGATAGGAAGGAGACAAATTGATCACGTCAACTATTGTCTTCAATGCCTCACCCCAAAAGGATCTTGGCAATTTAGCTTGTGAAAGCAAACATCTTGTTCTTTCCACAATGGTGCGGTTCATCCTCTCGGCAACTCCATATTGTTGAGGAGTCTTCTTAACTGTCTTTTGATGACGAATACCTTGGCTGCGACAATACTCATCAAATGGCCCAATGTATTCACCACCATTGTCTGATCGGATGCACTTCAATTTCTGCCCTGTTTCTCTTTCAACCATGGCCTGAAAATACTTAAATACTTCTAGAACTTGATTTTTAGTTTTTAGTAGAAAAGCCCAAACTTTCCTTGAATAATCATCAATGAAAGTAACAAAATAAAGTGCACCACCATATGTTCTAACTTTTAAAGGACCACAAACATCTGAATGAATCAACTCTAAAACATTTTCTTTTCTAGAAGCAACATTTTTATGAAAAGAAACTCTATGTTGTTTACTCGCCAAACAATGAACACAAGTTTTGAGATGTGTACCTTTCAAACCGGGTAGAAGCGCTTTCTTGAATAAAACTTGCAGCCCCTTTTCACTCATATGGCCAAGCCGCTTGTGCCACAATTCGGTAGAAGTATCATCTTGAAGTGCATTGACAACACCTTTACAAATTTATCCTTGCATCGAATAAAGTGTATGAGTCTTCTTACACTTAGCCACCACCAAGGAACCCTTTGTGAGCTTCCATATTCAATCACCAAATTTGTTGTTGAAGCCTTCATCATCTAGCTTCCCAGTAGAGATCAAATTAAAGCGAATGTTGGGAACATGCCTCACATCTTTAAGCAACAACTTGCAGCCCAAATTTGTTTCCAACCAAACATCACCCATGCCAATAATCTTGGACAAACCTTCATTACCCATTCGAACAAAACCATAATCTCCTTCGGTGTAGGTAGTGAAGAAATCAACTCGAGAAGTCACATGAAAAGAAGCACCGGAATCAATCACCCAATTACTCTCTTGGCCCACAAAATTGATACAATGATCTTCACAAACGACCATGAGATCACCATTGGTAGTAACTACCGTTGTGTCTTCTTGCTTCTTGTCCACACATTTGTCACGCCTTTTCTCCTTATTCTTGAGCTTTCGGCATTCTCATTTCATGTGCCCTTTCTCATGGCAATAATAGCACTCAATGTCTTTTTTTGAAAAAGAACCATCCTTTGATTTATCACGGCTTTGATCACGACCATGAGGAGTTTTACTCCTTCCTCTTGTTTTGCTTCGGCCTCTCACAACGAATGCTTCTGAATGAGAGGAACTTGCTGATTTTCTTCTAGTTTCTTCATTCAACAGGCTACTAGTGACTTGGCCCATTGTGACAACTCCGTCGGGCGCCGAATTACTGACGGTCACAACCAAAGTCTCCCAACTTTCGGGTAAAGAACTAAGTAGCATCAAAGCCTGCAACTCATCATCAAAAACAATTTTCATAGAAGCAAGTTGGTTAACAATACTCTTTACTTCATTCAGATGTTCCGGAATAGGGCTGCCCTCTTTATATTTTAAATTAACCAACTTACGAAACAGAAAAGCTTTATTTGTGGCTGATTTCCTATCATAAAGGCCTTCTAATTTTTTTCATAAATCATGTGCTGAAGTTTCAGTAACAACATGATGAAACACACTGTCATCAATCCATTGACGGATAACACCAACGGCTTTTCGATTAAGCCTATTCCATTCATCATCTTTCATACCCTCGGATTTGCCACTATCACCCTCAATGGGTCCATACAAATCTTTACAAAATAATAGGTCCTCCATTTTAGTTTTTCAAGTTGCCCAATTACTTCCATTGAAGCTAGACATACGACCCACATTCTCCTCCATTGATTTACACAAATAAATAAATTCAAATAGACCATAAGCTCTGATACCAGTTGTTAGGAAAAATATGTGATTTCCCACAAGTAAATCAATCAATGGGAATAAAAACTAATGTGGAAAAATTAAATCAAAGGCAACACAAGAATTTTTACGTGATTTCCTCAATGTGAGGTACGTCCACGGGATCGAAATCCGATTTCACTATCAACCAAATAAGTTCCAAACGATTACAAACGAGACACGAACGGTCTCACAAAGCCACCCTTAGGTGAATTCCAAATAATCACAAATAAATAAGAGGAAAGACCTTACCAAATAGATGGAAAAAAAAATTCAGAACCAGAGTTGAAGAAAAACCCAAAATAACGAACTAAATCAACTCCAAAACTGAGACTGCAACAGCATCAAAATTACTTACAAAGAACCCACAAAAGTTTGATCAAAACCTAGTGCTCTATCCACCAAAACCAAACTCACCGAATAATTAAAAATGTTGCAGCCGCCACTTGTGTCTTGGGAAAAACAATACCCAATAAATATATTGTGCATCTAGGGTTTATAATCAAACCTTAGTTGTTTTTAAATTGGATTAAGTCTCCACAAAATTAGATATAATATATAAAAATATATTATACCTAAATCAAGCCAAATTAAAATTATTTAACAAACTAATTGAGTCCCACATCCCAATAAAAAAGTATACCCAACAGTTACCAACACAATTTTAGGGATGCGAGTATTGTGAAGAACTTATTGCACTGTTATTTTCGTCCCAACACAGTTTTGCCCCACACTCTTTTCATTGGAATGAAGTCAACTGTTATAGATATTGTATTATTCCAAAAATAGTTAGTGTTGTTGTACCTTGCAAGAATTAGACCAATCTCCAGTGAGACTTTAATACTGGCTCTATTGCAAAGGTTACAAGATCGTCTAATTTTAAATTTCTGTCTTTGAATTCTTTTTTTAATGTAGTCTTAATTTTGTATTTTAAGATTCTCACATTATGCAATTGGAATGAGTTGGTACAAATTCTTTTATCCTATTGCAATTCTAAACATATAATTATATTGGAGATTTTTATTACATTAGTTGAGGATTTGAATATATTAAGGCACATAATCATTTAGTGGTTGAATGAAAATTTGAAATCTTTATAGGAAGTCCAATTTTAAAATTATATATTATTATACATATATGGTAAATAACAAGTTTCACATGACCAAAAAAACTATCTAACTGAAGGATTGTCTGATTGGACCTTCGCCCTCAAATGGAACCGCTTGTTTAACAACAACGACTAATATCCCTTTTATTGATAACTACTTTTACAGTTTTACATACTACACACTACACTACTAATAAATCTCTGCTGATGTAGAAATTATTCAATGACAAGGAAGATTACATAGCTATGTGTCCATCTAATAAAATTATATCATTTCTTCATTATTTTTTATTTTTAGCGTCATATAGTTTTTAATCCCCGCTAGTGATAGGGCATTCCGCCAAAGTAAAATTCAGATTAAGATAATTTCTGATTATATTACACAGAGCACACATCTTTTGTCTTTTTCCAAATACTTGTAATTTCCTACTTGCACTTTAAGAAATATCTATTTTTTGTCTTTTTCCATTTCTTTATCTTTTATATATATATATATATTTTTTTTTTTTTGGTCTTCATATTATCATATTCTTGTGATTTTCCTAGTGGTTGCGAGTTTGGGTTGCTGCTGCGTATGATGCATAGTAACAATTGTTGCGTATATTATTGGGCTTATTTTAATACTTGATTTAATAATTTAAATCGTTCATACTTTTTAAAGTATCAAATAAAATATATTTGTAAAAAATTACGACAATCAGATATCGTTAACTTTTTCATCAAATCTCATTTATATTTAAAAAAATAAATATAATTTGAAATATAAAAATCAATACAAACGTGATTTGATGAAAGAGATAACGATATTCGATTGAGGTGATTTTTTACCAATATATTTTACTTAATACCTTCTAAAATATGAATAATTTAAATTATCGAATCAAATTCTAAAATAAATCCAATAAAATGCAGAACAATTAGTGCTGCGCACCACGCGCGCAGCAACCCCAGACTGAGCTGTTGCACCCAAAATATTAAAAGTAAGGTTTTGAAAAATATCTAGATTTTAAAAATATCTGTGTCTGACTATACAAAGCGAAAACAAGTCAGATTTTAAATTGAGAAGCTCCAGAGTGACACGTCGTCACCAAGTTCCGCGTCATCACCCTCGTACCAGTCTCCTCCTTCAGAGTGAGGCGGTGGAGGAGGTAGCATCAACCCTTCTGCCATGTTTGCAAGCAATCCCGGCATCCCGAAAATTGCCTCGTCGTCCATGAAAAGCAAATTCTCCGGCATTGTCGTCTCAGTCGCAGTTTCAGTTGCTGTTGTAGTTGCAGTCGTTGTCAATGTCGCATCCTCTTCTGGCTTTGCCACGTCACCTGGAACATCGTTGTTCTCTTTCAATGTCGCATCCTCTTCTGGCTGTGCCACGTCACCTGGAACATCCTTCTTCTCCTCCAACAACGGTGGCCGAAACATTTCAGCCGCCTCGGCTGCTGCTTTCTGAATGTCCTTGGGATCCAATGAAGCCGGAACGGGCAGCCTCCAAACCGAGTCAGCAAAATTGACACAAGCCATCCGATTTCTCAAAGCAATGGCAGCAACGTCGTGAGCTCTGGCAGCCATTTCCGCTGTTGGAAATGTACCGAGCCATATCCTCGACTTCTTATTGGGCTCGCGCACTTCGCAGACCCAGGTGTGGGCGTTCCTCCACCTTACACCTCGGTACACTGGGTGCCGAGTCTCCTTTACTTTCTTCCTCCCTCCCCTCTTCTTCGGATTCCTTGAAGCCAACAAAAGCTCGTCGTCAGAGCAGATTGCAGCTGGATGAGCACCAGTGCCCCTATCTGACGCCGATGAGCATTCCGCTACTTCTTTGGATGAGAAACCTGACCCACTAGGAAGTGTATCAGAATAGTGAGAAAACACATTTTTCTTGCTCGAATCCATCTAGTACAGTATCAGTGCTAGTGTAGTAGTAGTTTGATAGTTTCAAGTGTTTGGATGAGAGTTGGAGTGATGAAAAACATTTAAGTTTGCCTGTGGGGGACAAACCCACAAAAGTGTCGATGAAATATATATATGGATGGCTTATTTATTATACGGATGGCTTATTTATTATGGGAAGTGAAGTTTCTATATATAGATAAAATTGGCGTATGTACGAACGCGTCAAATAAGTAGTAGCCAGGCTGGAATGTGGGACGGCGCATAGTTTCAGTGAGTTGAGAGACAGGGAGAGAGAGAGAAATGTTTTGTCGTCAAGTGGACGTGTTGTGTGTGTGTGTGTGCGCGCGTGAACGCGTGTTGTTTCGTGGTGATGTAGCGAGTGGGGGATTAATTAATTTTGGCTTTGCCATTACTTTTTTTTAAACTAACGCTGAGTGATTGATTTGAGAAAACTACTTTCCCCAATTACACCTGTCACACCAAAAAAATTGTAAACCAAAAATGTCAAATAAATTATTAAATATTTTATATAATAAATACATAAATCTTACATTTATATGAATATTATATAAAATATTTAATAATTATTTAAAATATATAAGGACATTCATAAGATACTCCAACTTATTATTTATTAGTTGAAAATTCATTGTATGGTGTGGAATCTCCTGAATTCCGTGGATAGGAAGATTGCTGACGTCTGAGTCAAACATTGCCCCGTTGGGGATTCTGTCCTTGTTACAGTTTTCAATAGACAAATTCCTCACAATTATACCAAAGGTGCCCTATCAAATAATAGTGGGTGTTTCAATATGAATTTTCACATCTTAAACTGTATTTCTCATTCGGTAGTGATTTAGATTCCTTCAAATTTCAATCCTCACCACCTCTTTATACATATGTGGTGGGTGGTGATTGAAGGAGAAGAAAAAAAAAAAAAAAAAAAGTGATCAATCAAAAAAGAAAGAGAGTCAAAGGGGGTGGGAGGAAAAGGGGTCCCAATCTTTATTCTTTCTCATTATTCATAAGGGAAACCACCCGTAGATAGAAATTAGGGGGGAAAATTACTAATATACAGAGGGGTTGTATTTTTACAATCTTTCATTTGCATCTCACTGCTAACACACTTGCACCTCCCATATATTTTATAATTTTTTCCTAACTCTCACCTGTATATATATTCTCTCTTACTCATATTAGTGGTTGGTATACGAAAAGTGTATACAATTCAAATAAAATAAAATAAAATATTTACTATATGTTGTATGTAAGAGTCTTCTTTGAAAAATCTAAGATTCAAGTCTCACTTCTCTTATTTATATATTTTATTTTGAAATAAGAAAACTGAGGAACATGTGGCGTAGGGAGAAACAAACAAATGTTTAAACACCGAGTTTAGTCTATACTTAGGCCTCGTTTGGCAACAGGGCGGTTTAGTTAAAAAATCAAAAAGTTACTAAAAAAGTCAAAAAGCCAACAACTCATATCAAAAAGTCAAAGATTCTTTTTTCTCTCTACTTTTTGCACATTTTTTCATAAAAAGTCAAAAAGTCATCCCAAACATACTAGTTTTTTTTAGCTTATATTTTAGCCAAATAATCAAAATATTACTAAATTAACCTATTCTCAAACGAGACCTTAATATAATAATATAGATGAATGTTTTGTGTGTATCTAAAATGTAGTTGAATTTCTTATGTGAAGTTTCGCATTGTCTAGTTGGTAATGAATGTTGTAATCTAATACGGGTCTTCTTATTTTCCGATTATGTTCAGACAATTAATGCCCTACGATTGATTTTCAAGATTTATGCTATCACTCGAAATATAAAAAAAAAAAAAAATAGCTGATTCAAATAGCCTCGATGAGGTTGATCCCGAGCTTTTTAAACCCTCGTTTGGTATAATTTAGTATGACTTTTTGACTTTTTAAATCTTGGTTAAAACAATTATGTTTGAGATAAATTTTAACTTTTTTTTTTAATTGATTTGATAGTTGTAAAAGAAAAAATAAAATAATTATGATTTAATTGTAATATTTTATTTTATTGACTAACTTAACCTATTTTATCTTTATTAACTGATTTAGTCAAAAAAAATCTCAAGCCAAACGGAGTATTTGACGAACTGCAGATCCAGTAATGTTAATGTTGGATGATATTTGTGAACAGAAAAGATTGGCTAATGTTAATGTTGATGTTGATGCTGGAAACAGAAGCCTATTTATGTGCTCATTTGGAAACTTAGTAAAAAGTCAGCTTCACCTTTTTACCAATTTTAGGTTACATTACCTTTCACATAACTTATTCATAAAAAGACAAAAATAAGTTTAAAAAGCTAAAATATCAACTTTTTACCAACTTTTCAAAACACCCTTATGTATATACTAGAAAAAAATATCCGTGCAAGGCACGGAACACTATTGTAATAAATTTATGTTTCACAAATATTAAAAGAAAATTAGTAAATTTAAATTCCACAACTACAATTAATAATTTATACAGGGAAAAAAAAATATTAATAATGAAGTATCAATGATAGTTTTAAAATTATGAAGACAATGATACATTGTATTTTGATTGAAAATGAAGTAACCACAAGAAGTTATACTATTCTATATATAAATTTGTATCAAATTCTATTGGAAAAATTACACACAAGAAAAAAAATCCCAGGATTTGAACCATGTAACAAAATAAATTTTTAATTTTTAATTTTATCAATTTAAATTCTAAATTCTAAATTTTTAATTTGTTTTCAATCTAAATTATTTGTCTATTTTTGTTTAATAAAACGGACAAAAAAAATTATATTTAGTCATTAAACTCATTGTAAGTGAGAAAATATCTAAAATATAATTTCTGTTAGATTTAATGACTACAATATATATATTTTTCATTTATTTTATCGGCAAATGGTTTAGATTGAAAGCAAATCAAAAGTTTATAGTTTAAATTGACAAAATTCAAAATTCAAAATTTATTTTGTTATAAGGTTCAAACTCTAAATTTTTTTTATTATAATTTTCTCAATTCTATTTGTATATCATTACTCTCAAATAAGAATCGGAGATTATTGCATTACGATTGATTAGGATGCCCTAAAAAACATTTAATTATTTTTTACTATTAATTGGATAAAAAGAAAAAATAATTTGAAGTGACATAAAAGTATCTTCAACAAATATATTATTTCTTAAGTGATTGCCTATAATACTTGACATTTTTAATCTCTAAACATTCCCATAAAATTCTTATTTACTAAAGCAACATTTGGTATTGCCCTATCCAACACTCACTTAAACTTTAACAACACCCCCCCCCCCCAAAAAAAATAAAAAATTATCATTTGTCAAATACATAGATTTTTTTCTAGCAATAATAACCTTATCATAAGAAGTGAAAAATTTAAAACTTTACCATAGGTATTTGTAAAACCAGCTCAAAAAAAATATTTGGATATTATTTGTCATCATTGAATAACAATAAATATCACTACAAGAAAAAGTACCTTTGGCGACTAAAAATTTAGTCGCCAAAAGTCTATTTTTAGTCGCCGAAAGTCGAGTTTTTACTTTCAGCGACTAATTTTTTTAGTCGTCCGTTTTGTCGCGTATATATAGTTGCCGGAGGTATTGGCGACTGAAATTTTTTTAGTCGGCAAAAAATAGCTCTTTAGCGACCAACAATTTAGTCGCCAATAGTGATTTACACTTTTTAAAATCACACATTTAGCGTACCTTTGGCGACTAAAAATTTAGTCGCCAAAAGTCTATTTTTAGTCGTCGAAAGTCGAGTTTTTACTTTCAGCGACTAATTTTTTTAGTCGTCCGTTTTGTCGCATATATATAGTCGCCGGAGGTATTGGCGACTGAAATTTTTTTAGTCGGCAAAAAATAGCTCTTTAGCGACCAACAATTTAGTCGCCAATAGTGATTTACACTTTTTAAAATCACACATTTAGCGACTAATCTTTTAGTCGCCAATAGTCCATGAATCGCCGACTAAACCATTTAGTCGCCCAAAATAAACACTTTTGGCGACTAAAAATTTAGTTGCCAAAGGTGCTTCCGTGAAAAAAAAAAACCAATTTTTTTGCTTTTTCTAAGATTTGAACCGCCAACCTCTCCCACATTCTAAACCTTTAGCAAACACACCCTCTCCACTATGCCACTACAACACCACATGAATATATATGCAATATATATTATTTATATACTATATTGACCCGTATTAATATCTAGCTATATATATAAAAATTATTATTTTTATTCAATATAATTTATGTAAAAAATAAATTATTTACTAAAAAAAATTAGATCACTTTTGGCGACTAAATCAATTTTTTAGTCGTCAATTGTATAGTTTTGGCTACAAATTATATTTTAGTCGCTAAAAAAATTCATTCCCGCCGAAAAACCTCCACTTTTGGCGACTAAACTGAAATTTAGTCGCCAAAACCTCTACTTTGGGCGACTAAACTGCATTTTAGTCGGCAATTCTTGACTTTTAGCTACTAAATTTTTTTTAGTAGCCAAAAAACTTCACTTTTGGCTACGAAATTGATTTTTGTCGGTAAAACACGTATAATCCGCGACCAAACTATTTTTCAGTCGCCAAAACCTATACTTTTGGCTACTAAATGTTTTTAGTCGCCAAAAACCTTCTCTTTTGGCTACTAAAATTTTTTTAGTCGCTAAAATCCCTATATTCGGCGACTAAACTGAGTTTTAGTCGCTAAAACCCCTACATTTGGCTACTAAACTATTTTAGTCGCCAAAAGTGTTCACTTTTGGCGACTAATTCCATTTTAGTCGCCAATTCTGCTACTTTCAGCGACGAAAAATCTATTTTTAATCGCGAAATCTGCCTTTTCTTGTAGTGTATTAATCTGATAAATTTATGTACAATACTTTATTAGCATTTCATGTGTCATAATTTTAGTGATTTAATTGGTTCCTACTCATATTTATTTATTATGAATAGAGTATTGATAAATAATGACTCAATTTGGTATTAACTGTAACTGAGTTTTTACGATTATAACGTATTAGATTATTAGTTTCAAAGAATTAAAATAAGTTGTAAATTTGTATGGTATAACTTTTTATATTATGTTTAAAATAAAAGTTAAACTTGTTTTAATTACACGTTATATGCAAATATCTAACAATCAC